TCCTAAAACCGCCTTTTCTCTACCTTGATGATGTACCACTTCCACCAGATGCTACTGCTTCTCTTCATCTTATCATGTCTCTAAGGCAGATCTCTAAATTATCAACAGTGCATAGTGACAACTGCAAAACCCATTTCCAAGCAATCCCTAAACTTCATGCTGGAAGTTTTCCCTCCAAATGTGTTTAAATGTCAACAGAACCACCATAAAACAATTTCCAGCTGAGGATAGTGAGTAGAATTCCTCTTTAGGACACTCTTTAGTCAAACTTTAATTATTTTTAAGCTTATTTGATAGTGTTGTGAGGGTGCAAGTCATGATCTTTTTCATTATTTTTAAATTGAAGTTTATAAATGTCACCACAGAAGCAATATCTGTAACAGGTGGAGTTGTAGATATTCAGACGCACCTGTCAATGGCGCTGCTTCCTCTCTTGGCTGTCGTGGTACGACCGGCTCTCAGTTCACCGTTCATCCTGGCGTCTGGAAAACAAACCGTCAAATTAAGTTAGACACTGAGGCCTGGTGTCTCAGCACCTGACGCGAGGAAGACGGTAATGGAGTTAGACATAAAACACTGCCTGAACCCACAGCTGACACACACACACACACACCTGTATTACTGACAGTACACTATCCATCACGTTACGTGGCATTACACTGACATACTTTCCTAGAGACTCACTCTTACTTTGGCCTTAAAGCAAGTCTACAAACACTAACTAAAGCCATAAGCTGCACACAGCTCTCACACAGCACTTGCACGACTCCCAAAAGTAAATTAATAAAGAAAAACTGTACCACAAACAAAGTGCACAGCTACACACCCTCCCTGTACACAAACACACACACACAGCCCCAGCGGGCTCAGCCGGCAGCCCTAACGAGTGGCCAGAGCGACTAATTGGCTTCCATCTGTCAGACTGGAGTTAATTTTCTCTCACATTCATGCTGCTTTCCTCCTATCAACAACAAGCATGTCTGTCAGCCAAAGAGAGCACAAAAATGGGGTATGCCCTCACAAAAGGGAAGCAGAAAATTTGATTTCAGAAACTATTATAAACTCTTGTGCTGGGCTGTTAC